GCTGCTCTTGCAGAGAACCCAGGTTTGGTTCCCAGCACTCACATGGTGGCTAACAACCATCTATAACTCCAGTTCCAAGGCATCTGATGCTCTCTTCTGGCCTCTGTGGGCACTGCATGCACGAGGTACCCTTACATACATGAAGGTAAAACGCTCATACACATAAAACTTTTTTTAAAAATAAATCATTAAAAAATAAAAGAAAATAATGGTCCTACATCCCTAAACTGCCCAATATGTATACAACCTGTAACTTTTCAAAACTGAGTTTCTGCCTTAATTGCTGCTTTCCACTAGCTAACTTGTTTCTGGCTTGATTACTTTAGATAAGAGAGTTTCTCTATACAACAAAAACACAAATTTGCCCAAGTGATCTTCAGAACCAGCCATTCATTCCACCCAGAATCTTTATGTAGCTAGGGAACAGTCTTCATTTCTTTCTACCTGAAGTCCTTACAAAGGTGTCTTCTCTATCCACTTCTTTCTGAACGATGGCTTGGCAAGCAGAGATTACTGGCAAAACATGATTCTATGGGTAAAGTGCTTGCTGCATAAACACAAAGGAGAACCTGAGTTCAGATTCCCAGAATCCATGTAAAGCCAGGCACAGTAGCAAACATTTATAATTTCAGGGCTTATATGGGGAGACAAGAGGCAGAGACAGGAGAATTCCCAGAAGCTCAAGGGCAGCTAATCTAGCACAAAGAAGAAAAACAACAAAAAGATCCTAACAAGGTAGAAGGAGATTACCAACAACTAAGTTGTCCTCTGACTGCCACATGTGAGTTGTGGCCTCCACACATGTGCCAGTGTGCACACACACACATCATACATGTAACACATCTAACACATACACATAAATGTTAAGATATTAAAGCACTAAATTATACATGGAGCCTGTGGTGGTTTGAATGAAAACGTCCCCCTTAGGCTCCAAGTATCTGGATATTTTGTCCCCTGTTGGTGGCACTGTTTTGTAAGATTTTAGGAGTTGTGGCCTTACTGGAGGAAGCATGTCATTGGGGATGCGTTTTGAGCGTTCTTAAGCCTTGCCAGATTTCCAGTCACCCTCTGCTTCCTGTGCTTGCTTGGAGATGTGAGCAATTTTTTCTGCTCTGGCCGCCTCTGCCACCATGCCTTACCCACCATTATGGACCTTTACCTCTAGAACCATAAACTCAAATAAACTCCTCCTTTTATAAGTTGCATTGACAATATATCACAGCAACAGAAAAGGAACTAATACAGAGCCTGTGCAGTGATAGAGATGGTGCAACTAGGAAGTTACCTGCTGTCAAGACTCACCTGATCAGGTCCAACATGGCATCGACTGTGCTGACTTCAGGGGTGTTTCCTGTCCTGCTGATTTCAGTCACTTTCTGAGTGACACCAGGCTTGATGCTCACAACCAGTACAATACCTGTGGTGAAGGACAGTATCCACAGAGAATTAAAACGTTCCAGGTCATCTGGCAACCTGGGGCATTCTTTGTAAAAGCAGTTGGAATGGTGGTCCAGGCAACACTGTGACATGGGCCCCAAGATCCCAACAAAATGTTAACCCACTGCTAAGCACTAGTAACTACATTATTTCCCCACCCACTGGATTGAATGAGGAAATCTTCTGGCTCTTCTTTTTAACAAAGGGTTATATCCTAGAATTGCTTCTAGAAACACCTGCTGAGAATATTTTTTCTTCTGTTGTTTGGTCTGTGGAAACCTTGGAAGAATTTGGGGTGAGGGCACTTCATTTCCCAGTCCGAGGAACTCAGTTGATGTTTCTCTAACTTCTACCCACAAATGCATGTCACTTTCCTGAGGGTCACCTGGAAAAAGTCTTGTTTTGTCTTCCTTCTGTACCACAGGCCTTTGACTATCTAGAAAACTCAAGCAGGACTGTGTCCTTCAAGGGGTAGAATGAGGACACATGAAGGGAGTGGCAGGGAGAGGTGGTCTTTCTTGCTGTTTGGAATTGTCCACATAGCTTGAGCATCTGGGAGCTCAACTGTGGCCTTTGAAGGCAATAAGTTCCCATCTCCTGAGATACCCAAGCACCAGTGGGAGGTTGTAAAGAGACTTAGGCACTGGGGATAAATTGACTGGAGGTAAAGAAGAAAACAATCCCTGGGCTATTTCTCATTCCTCCCCTAAGAGGAAGAAGTGCTAATGTAAGGGGTAGGGCTTTGGGGTATAGAATGGTTATTATGCTACTGGGTCCTCTCCACCAGCAATAGGACAGCATGAGTCTTCTTTCCAGTCTCCCAAGAACGTACCATTTTTCTTTCTTTTTTGCTGTTTTATCCTTTATATCTGTCTTGCTCAGGAACATTTGAGGAGACATGGTTTTGGTTTACAGCAGGGTTCAGGCCCCCTCAAGCCCCTTGGCTGAATACTACTAAAACTGCCCTGTACTTCACCACTTCTTATCAGCCCATTAAAGTGGGCTGCAGAGGTCAAGCTGGCTGCAGTATCTGAGAACCCTTCCTTTCTTCCTTCTCACTCTGAGCATCCTTTTAAAAATGCTATGCCAGGTCACAAAGGATGGACCAAGTTTTCATCAAAAAACCATGCTAAAGGTGACAAGAGCACCTTAGAACTTTCTTCTTCTTATGCCTGGAAGAGTTGTTATCTTTTGTACTATAAGAAATGTAAAATACATTCAAGTGTTGCCTTTCTGGAAACATCTTTAATTCTTCTCTACTATTCTAGACTAATTATCTGATTTAAGATTATATAAGCCCTTGGCTTCACGTCTTTCTACTCAGTGATACTGACAAGACACAGACTATCTCTTTCTGCTTCTTACGAGAGACTTTAATAACTGGTACTGTGGTTAAAATTGTGCAGGATTGCATTTTCTTCACATAAAAGGTGCTATGGAGACTTCAAGGCAAAAAGGTTCAGGGTAATCTCACAATATTACTTTCTGGCTAAAAATGTGCATTTTAAAAGGTCCAATTACTTTTTGAGGGAAAAGTCATAATTATACAGAAGAAGAGGAGGTCAGAAATGGGCATTACCTAGGATTACAGCGATGATGGTGGTACAGAAATAATACACAACAGCACGCAGACCAATTTTTCCAGATACATTGGAATCTAGTGCAGCAACCCCTGAAAGGAGAGAGAAGGAGAGAGAAGTCAAGTCACATGCATGTTTCAGGACTGGTGACTTGGTTATCACAGCTGTAAGACTGATCTCACAGTCTATGAGATGCAATGGGTAGAAAACAATTGGAATTTCCAAATGCAGAATTCAGAAGTGGGTGCCCAATGAAGCACAAACTCCTCGCTTATTCTCCCCCAGCTATGATCTCTGGTTTTCTTGGGGATGACTATGAAATAGTCCCAAGAAGCTCCACTTCTGCCATTGTTCTATGAACGCCGTCAAAATCTATATAAGACATCACTCAACATCACATATAAACCTCTTTTGAAATTCAATCCTGAGGAACCATCTGTCTTGAACATAGTTAATTCTCTATTTGCATATTGAGACTCATGGAAATCACAATTGCTTTCACCTTTGCCTTTTGAAGCTCAAAGTCAACTGAAAACATAACATTTGCCCATGTTTAAACGGCAACAGATACTGATTACCACCCTCCCATCACTTCATCTCATCAACCATAGTTAATGGTTCCATTTTTCTTCTAAATTTTGTAACATAGATAATTTTATAGTTAACCCATTATTTTCTTAGTACTATATCATAAGCATTTTCCATTACTGTTATAAACTTACCTTGAGGATAATTTTAATGGCTACATAACTGTTTTACAAGTGGCTGTATCATAATATACTTAATTGACCCTTTATTGTTGTATCTTTATCTACCCTGTCTAGCATATTTCCTCTTTTTATGATTTTCAAATTGGTCCTAGGTGAACAAACTTATACATATCTGTTATTGTGAGATACCTTAAAAAAACCCCTGAAAGAGGGATACAAATAACTTCCACAGAGAGTTCGCAAAGGAAGAAATAAAGATGGCTAAGAAACATCTCAAAAAGTGTTCAACATCGTTAATAATTAGGGAAATGCAAATTAAAACCACCCTAAGGTATCACCTTACCCCAATCAGACTGGCTAGGATCAAGAGAACAAATGATACCAAATGCTGGCAAGGATGTAGAGAAAAGGGAATGCTCATTTACCGCTGGTGGGATTGCAAACTTGTGCAGCCTCTATGAAAAACAGTGTGGAGAACTCTTAAAAAACTAAAAATGAGCCAGGCATGGTAGCACACGCTTGTAGTCCCAGCACTTGAGAGGCAGAGGTAGGCGGATCTCTGTGAGTTCAAGGCCAGCCTGGTCTACATAGTGAGTTCCAGGACAGCTGGGGCTACAGGGAGAACCTGTCTCAAAAAGACAAAAAAAGAAAAAGTGGTTCATTTATACAATGGAGTACTACTCAGCAGTAAAGAAAGATGAAATAAGGAAATTTGCAAGTAAATGGATGGATCTAGAAACTGTTATACTAAGTGAAGTACAGATTCAGAAAAACAAACGACATATGTTCTCCCTCATATGTTGCTCCTAGCACCAAATTCTTTTAAATTCCAGGTCCTTTTAATAAGATGATGCTATACAGGAGTCCCTTCTGCATGAAATAACTACCATCATCACGACTTCAGCTGAGTCTGATCGCTAAACATAGTCACAATTGGGCTTGTTGATGGTGGTGCTCATTCTGTCTAAAGGAGTGCCAAGCAGGGTCACTGGACGCTCACCCAGCCACTCTTCCCAGCCAACTAGTCCAGCCTTGGAAGGCAAAAGAAAAACAATGAAGATCCCAATAGAGGGATGCTTTTGGAAGCCCTTGTCAAGAAACGCCAATGGACTCTCATATGAACATTTGAAAATTGCCCTGTTCTGACTTTTTTCTAGTTCCCTGTCTAGAACTTGTAATG